ATGTATAAGGCTTTTTTAGATTTGTGATAGAGGAAAGATTTACAGATATGACGCATTTCCATTTAAAAATTCTAAGTTTCTGTGTATTTTAGAATACAAAAACCTCACATGAATCATACACAGCTTGAATCATCTAGATCATTAAGAGATGCTGTGCTGCAAACATCATTTGTTCATTTATGCGTCCTTCAATCACGTCCGACTCCATGGGTGTCTTTGGGCCTGTCGATGCGGTAGACATACTCTGCAGGCACGAAGTAGCCCAGGTACTCCACACTGTCCGGTGTGGTGTCTATGTAGTAGTGGCCACCCTCTCCATGGTGGCTGAAGCAGTGGGTGTGCTCCACCCGCAGGTCCAAACCCTGGATACATAGCAAACACATGAATCATTACAAGGCAGCTGATTTTGCAAATGAGGAGCGTATCGAATATATTCTCAGCTCAAAACTCTCTTAAAGGTCCAGTTTGTAGGATTTAGGGAGACATACTGGATGTTGAAATCATCCACCTACAGCCTATAGCCTATTGATGTTACAGCCCTTAAAACTACATCCTCAAATTGGTGTGCCAGAGAGTTTTCTTGACTTCAGACATTTATCTCGTTGAGATGAGTGTGTTTGCTTGACTTACAGGGTCTCTGGATACCAGCACCGACTGGCAGATGAGCGGGGCTCTGACCTCGAAGTGCTTAAGCCAGTTGTTGACGTCATCGTTGGTGTTGAGCGGGCAGACTGAGAACTCTCTCGGCTATCGACGATCAGACACACAGAGATAAATCAAATGTAACTGTCAGAGATCACATCTTCTGTGTCATGTCCAATATTTACCATGATGTGGATTTTAGCCTTCCCTTTCTGGATGATGAAGGTGCCTCCCAGAGCCAGGCTTTTATCCGGATAGTGACCTTCCAGAGTCGTCCTCATGGCCGTCACAAGACTGTCACCTCCCGTCCTCTTCTTGGCCCTCACCTCTATGACCTGCGGAGGTGCACAGGTGAAGAGGGCACCACAGCTCAGCTTGTGCAGTCACTACCCTTTTATTAATGTTTACCCGTTTAAATGTTGGGAGCACACATGTGACGGGGCTGAAGGTCACAAACAACAACTTCAGGGAGGTTACTAATTTATCTTTAAGTTCATATACAACCAGAGATGTTCATTATTTGCCAAAAGCAGAAGCAATAATGACATGGCATTTTTGGAGGAGCCCCAATGCAGTCATCTTCTCAAAGACAAAAAGCTGCAGATCTTGTTTGATCAGAGGAGACACATTACCTTTCCAGACTTGCCTTCACAAGCGTACAGATTACCCAGCAGTCCAAAGTTGCAGTCAGAGAATTTGTCACTGTACTTTTCTTGCAGACACTGGCCATCGACTGGATTGATGGAAGAGAAGTAGCTGCTGTTGACTGCAGGCCTCCCCTCCGCTTCGGTCAGAACCAGAGGCATCAGCTGTGGACGAGAACATTTAGTCCATCAGCTTCTGCGTTCTCCAACTCTTTACATTCTATTTCTCCATTATTTAACATAGCCTGGACTGAGAAACTTGTTTGCAGCTTTCAGTTAGATACAGGGGGTAAAAAATGATTAACTTCTGCGTTCATTCCAACAATTCTGGAGGGAGCAGCTCCTGCACCGAGGATGAAGGCTCCTGGCAGCTCCACCTCCTTTGATACAGTGTTCATGTTGTATTCCTGAGAGTAAGAGGAGGAGAGACAACGATATATTAATCCCTTTCGCTACGGGCCATTGATCATTATCTCAAAGCAATATTCTCATTAAGACTACCTTGTCCTTATGAACCAACGGAACCAGGTACGGCACACCACCAACATCAGTGATGCGAGGCTTTCCACACAAGCCTACAGCATGAGTTGACATGAAAAACAACATGACACATATCAGGTAGGCCTTCAACTACATGTAAAACCCTCAGTCTCAGTGGAATGCTGGTATCCTACCCAATGTTTAAGCAACACTTGCAAACAAATTACCTGGTCTATCCCACTCTTAATGAGCATATCAGTAACCCTGGTCTATCATGCTTACTTGTAACCCCTCTTTGTGCGTCATTATGGCAATCCACCTGTTTTATGAGCTTCAAAATTAGGCTGTGTCCCATTCTACTTGGGAATGTGTATCACATTTTGGGTTTACGTGACCTTATACTTCATTCTACTTAACTCAGACCTGTTGTCCTCGTTCGTGGACACTTTTTTGTGCCATCTAGTGGTAGTAAGAGCACAATACACTAATCCAGGGAAAAACAAGATGGCAGCCATCTCTGCCAAGTCAGTCTGCAGCCGATCCCTACACAAAAGTGGACGAGGTCCAAAACCTGATCACATGTCATAGTTGAAACTTGTTTATTTACAATTAATGTTTGTAGTTTGACATGGCAACAGATTTGACCAAGGAAGTACTCTTTTGAGGACATTAGGACTTTGTTATGGTCTCGTTAGAGGACATTGGGACCTTATTATCATTGACAGTGTTTAGAGTTTGTATATTTATCTGGTCCTACTGATCCAAAATAGCAAGGAGAAATGAATAATGCATACCAAACAAAAGTTCAGGTCTCAGTAGGATATATAAAATACAAAAAAATAGCCCCACCTGCAGCTGCAACATTAGTAATGCTTACACATTAATGCATCAATAATTATAATCGAGTGATATATATAATTCTGAATTGACCCATTCTGGGAGGACAGCTTTTACTTTAAGCACGTTGATGCTTGTGCTCATGTCATTTTTTTTTTACTGTGGTGTTGCTACCTATCCTTGGGGCATGGTTCTGAGTACTTTTGTGCTGACTAGCTGGATTGCTGTTCTATAACTAGCTATCATAATTGACAATTTCACGATTCTAAAGCAATGCATTTTATAAAAAGTGGGTGAATATAAATTCTGCATGTACATATAGCCTAATCGAACACAGATATTTAATGCAACCTGCAAATAAATCTTCACTTTCAGATAGTCATGGTAATTCTGAAGAAGCAGCCATGTGTCAAGATAAAGACAGACTGATGGACGTATTAGAAACATGCAGTTTTTGGTTTGGGAGTGTGAGGGTTAACAAAGTGTCAGCCTGTGAATGAATGAACTAAATACACATGTAAGTAGGGCATGCATGAGACATTTGAGTACTTGATCCGTTACCTTTGACAGGGAAGTGGAAAGGCTCCTCTGTGAGATCAGGGCACTCCACAACCCTCACCTGAACTTCAGCAAAGTTGTTTTCCAGTCCTGTTTGTAGCACTGCAACCAGGAAAAAGTATTTATTACGCTCTTTTTATCAACATGCCTGTGCAACTTTGTCTGCGCATCAAAGCTGAAGTCCTTACCACCACGTAGTTCCTCCAAGTCTGGAGCGTGCAGCTGAACCTTTTCGGTTTTGCTAATATCTGCCATTATGACTGTGCTTGAAGGCTGATACTGAATATACCAACTCACAGTCAACAGTGGAGGAAAAATCGACTGTACGAACCACGGGACTGATCTACTGTAGAAGTTCAGCCAAAGAGTAAATACTTACGAGAGAGTTCCTGTCACAGATGATGTTTCCTCGCCCATGCAGCCAGTTTATCTGTGTGAAATAAATGCAATCATAGTCATGGGTTTATTCAGTTTAATTAAGTTCAGTCCATGTCAGTTCAACTTTATTTATCCTGATGGAAATTCTTATATCAGATAGCTCTTCAAATTACAGTAATATTAAGCACAGTAACCACAATCTAACATCCAACAACTAGTAACAACGAAAACAACCAGTGAGTTCAAGAGAAAGAGTGAAAACGTGACTCAGGGATGCAACAATGACTTAAGTACATAAAGTAGCGGGTGGCAGTATGCAACCTCAAAAGCAATGTTTGCATCCATCCATGCAGCCCCCGGGACATGCCCAGAACACCTCTAACAGGAGGCGCCCAGGAGGATCCTGATCAGATGCCCGAACCACCTCAACTGACCCCTTTCGACATGAAGGAGCAGCGGCTCTACTCCGAGCTCCCTCCGGATGTCCTAGCTCCTTACCCTATCTCTTAGGCTGAGTCCAGCCACCCCACGGAGGAAACTCATTTCAGCCACTTGTATCCTTGATGTCATTCTTTCAGTCACTACCCAGAGCTCATGACCATAGGTGAGGGTTGGGACATAGATGGACCAGTATATCGAAAGCTTTGCCTTCCGGCTCAGCTCCCTCTTCACCACGACGGTCCGGCACAGTGCAAACATGACTACAGATGACCACTGATCCATCTCATGCTCCATTCTACCCTCACACATGAACAAGGCCCCAAGATACAATTGCAATGTTAGCAATCTATAAAACAGACAGAAGATAAAGCGACTATGCACGATTGAAGCAGGAAATACCATGGCACATCTACTAAACTGATGCAGAAAGGGTACAAGGATGCATAAAACTTCACCAGATTGCAGGAATTTAAGTATTCAATAGAGCTCAAAATGTCTTGGCTTTGGACCCCCAGACCCCTGCCTGATACTGAACCAAAACCTTTGCCCTTGAGTAGAATTTGGATACTGTATTTTGTTCATGGGTAACACTTTAATAAATCAGTTTCAGGAAGTAAAGTAGGCATACTTAGAAACCTAAAATAATTAAGTTTTGGGTTGATATTTGAACTCTGGCATATGAAAATATTTTTTCCTGTAGTCTGGGAGTGCAGATAAATATAGTAATATCACATAAAAAGACTGATATAAACAACTTATGTTCATCTAATGAGCTATAGTTGTATTCATTTGTACAGTGACATTATAACTTCATCTCATGGTCTTCATCAGCAAATGGAGTTTGAATCCAGTGGTGCTCATTAAATACATGTCACATTTACTCATTTATGTGGAGAAAAATTAATAAAAACAACTCAAAGCTATTGTGGGAGCCGATGCAGTCGAAAACGGAAGTACAAACAGTGAAGCCTCTTGTTTTTTTTTTTTTGAGTGCTTTCTTCCTCTTCTTTGGTGATTGGTCAGATGATTATACGTCACTTCGATGACGCTAAAACACTTCCTGGTCGACGCAGAACCACATGTGTAGTGTCTACTCTTTTTGTTTTTTTACTTTGTTTTGGTGCAGATACATGTTGTTATATGATATCAATGAACTGTTTGGTTAATAATTAATATTGTGCGTCTAAAGCGGAACTTTAAAACTCAAACATTTTCGTCGGAAACATCAAACGGATCTAATTTCTCACTATTTCCTGCCAATGAAGACCTCCGCTACTTTGGCGGTGTCCACAGCTAAACTACGCAATGACCGGAGTGCGTAACTCTCTGGCTTTCACTCAGTCTGATGCTTTAGCTGATGTAGTATCGGGGCAGTCATGCCACATTGTGCTGGAAACATCCCCTCCAGACTACGTGGAGAAAATATCGCGGTATCTTGAGTCTAACGAGGGACACAGCAGACAGAATGAAGTAACGTTATTTGAGGAAGCTGCTGATGCAGACAGGTAAGGATGCTCCTCACAGGTCACAACGATGATGATGATTATGATGGTCCATTCCTGTAATGCAGCAACACTTCTGTTCCCGTGAATCAATCTTAACTGAGTCTGTTTGTTTGTTTGCTTGTTTGTGTACATGTGCTCATATTATCATGTCCCCAGTGCGGAGTAATCAACTTTTACAAGAACTACCCATATAAAACTACCATAAACAGTTAAACGTGTCACTATTCTTATATAATGCAAAACATGAAAAATCCACCTTTTCTGTTTTTTGAAGTTGTGAGGCTGAAATGTTGCTGCGTATCAGGAACGACCCTGATGCAGCCCCTCCCATTACAGCAGCCTGAAAATGCTCCAGTTTGACTTCTAAATGTGTGGTTGTGTCTCTGCAGCGATTCAGGAGACAGCCTGTTCATAACTCAGAAGGCAGTACCTGAGCCTGTGAGGTCAGGGAGACGACGACGTCACCTCAGCTTGAGGTCAAACCTCACATTTCCTGGAGATCATAAAGAAAGCGACGAGAACAATTCATCGTCCGCTTCCCCCGAAGAATCCAAAACAGGCAAAGAAAGAAGAAAGAAATACACCCTGCCAAAATACAGGTTCCCTTTCCTCCCAGAGAAGTCCAGACGCAATCTGCTACCTGCCCAGAACGGACGCCTTCATGTAAGAATAACCAATACTTAAATACACGAACTGTGAGAGCAAATTATGTTAATTGTTTGTGTGTTATGGTCTAACTGTGATTGGCGGGTCAGCCTATATAGCCTAGGAACCTTTGTGGCTCGTCAGGTGTTTCCAACCGGAACAGGAAAAACAGTTTTTGACCACTGTACAGCAACACGATATGCTCCGTGCTGATGTGTTGTGTGAGAATGTGTGATTTAAAGAATGAGATGTGAAATAAATGGACTCTCATTCATCCGTCATGGTAAAGTACAAGCGCATCAATTAGGTTTCCTGTTGAAATGCCTCAGTGGCTTGAAGCATTGGCTTAGCCTCTACATGATCATTTAACAAAGGCTTTGCAAACGTTATTTAGAGCTAAATACTTTTTTATTTTTACAGAATTATGTGATGGGAGGCTTCTTTAAATGTGTCAGAGAGCTGTGGCAGAGCTACCAAAGAGCAGAGGATCTGGAGTCATCTTTACCAACTGTTGACATCGATGGGGAGGACATATCTCCACTGTCAGAGTGAGTTTATGTCAAGGAATATTCATGCTTTACTTGAAGTTACATGTGTTCTTTTTAAATATTAGCCTTTGTCCACCAACACCCAGTAGCCGACTAATATCTCATGTTACCTTTTTAAGTATAATTTTAGGAAAAAGGTGTCCATATTCACATAATTAAATATTTTCCTTAAATAAAACAATAATTTAGCAATGTGTCAGTCTGGTTTTCGAGCTTATTGTACAAAGACGGCCCTAGTAACATAGTTGATTGGATTAGGATACATTTAGATGCCAGTGAAATTTTGGTTTTGATGCTACCCGACCTGATAAGTTGGTCCGGAGCAGCTGGAGTAGAGGTGTGTGTTGCTTATAATTTACAATAAAATAATTTTAGGGCCACTACTTTTTAAGATAAGATAAGATACACCTTTATTGATCCCACAATTGAAAAATTCCACTGTTACAGCAGTCAAGGGAAAAGAGTGAGATTAAAGATTTCAAAATTTAAAAACTTAAAAAACTAGGCATGCAAAAAAAATGTACAAGAAATACAAGAAACAGCAATAAATAATAATAATAATAATAATAATAATAATAATGAGCAGTGGATAAAAAGTGAGCATATTTAGTGCAAAGTAAAAATTGTATGTGCAAAAAAAAACATTGACACCAAAGGAAATTGTCTTGATTTCTTCTAAAAACATGGGAAGAAGGCAGTGAGGCACAAAAGATGAAATGACCCGAAAAAAATTTGCAGGAGAGAAAATCAAAATGAAGAAAATTAGAATAAAAAAGAAAGAAAGAAAGAAAGAAAGAAGGAAAGTTAAAACAAACTAACAGGGAAATGATTTGGAAAGAGTGCTTAAAAATTACAATAATTCCGTAACATAATTTTAAAATGTAATAATAATAATAATAATAGTAATAATAAATATAGTTTTTCCCTAGATTTTTTTTCTTTGTTTTTTTTTTTTTTTTAATATTCTTAAATCTTTCTCTTTATTTGTTGGACATTTCTTATCAAGTAGCTCATTGCCTTTTTCCCCATGTTTTTAGAAGAAATCAAGCCAATTTAAGGTTTAGGTTTAAAAAGTAGTGGCCCTAAAATTGATCCTTGGGGAGCCCCATAAATTATTTTATTGAAAGAAATCAAACCAACTTGCTTAGGGTTCAAAGGTTTGAATACTTGCAAGAGGCATCTGAAAGCAGCACAAGAAAAGTGATGTTGTTCCACGTTTCAAAGGGTTAATCTATACATGTTAGCCCTTGGTGCTGTCATCAGGAGACAAAGTGTTTATACCTCTAAACGTAAACTTTAAATCTACCCCTTTAGCCTGTCTTTTCTTTGGAACACTTTATGGACATTATTTAATTTATCATCATTTTTTCATTTATTTAAATATATTCATGTTTTAAGATGTTTAAATTCCGCTAACCGAGTAGTTCCCAAACCTTTTTTGCAGGGCCCACCTTATGTAGTTAAACAATATTTTCAAGCCCCCCAGCCCAGTCTTAAAATACAAAGGTATAAAAATACTCACTTTTACTTATAGACCTATAATCCTACACCTTCAGTGTGTGGCTTTTTATACTGAGCAGCACTGCAGGGTACTTCGTAGGAGACAGTTAAGGTATCAACAGGGTCCTCTTTGTGTTAGGGATGTGAAGTCTCCAAGTGCCATCTTAACGTTTTTGGCTTCATACCATCAGTAGCTAATACTTTGAGTCAGATAGCTCACCGTGTTGTCTCTCTTCATCAATAGCGAGATATGCTTCGTCTCATTGTCTTGTTCGGTAGGTGTGACGTTTGATGGAGATTCATCGTTTGCTTTACATTTACCTGGTAGTTCTTTTCACCAGGCTCCCCTTAGTGGGCCCGCCCCTCAATTTGATTGATTGATTGGTAATAAAACACACGTGTTCTGTTACAGAGAGGACGAAGGTAAAGCAGAAGATGAAGACATCAAAGTGGTGGTAAGCAGGCTGTTCAGATCTTGCATTTTATGCTGTGTTTCCACTGTATGTTAAAGCTCTCTGCATCTCAGCTCACTATTTTGGTTTTCCATTGGCAAATGTTGTTGATTGTATTTGAAACCTGGTACATTTTTGGCACCATTGCAGTTGAAGTTCCAAGTGAGCTGAGCCGATACTAGAAGGTGGAGTTGAGACACTGCAGACCACTGATTGGTCAGAGAGAATCGTGACTAGCCCATCATGGGACATCTTAGACTTACACAAACCAACCATTTATAAACAGCCAGGCTACCATCAATAGTGACTGCAATTTTGTTATTCATTCGACCCAGATTTTTTGAAAATGTAGCCCTACAAAACTACGCCGTACAATTGAGAGGTACAGACATGGTTGCTTATAAAAGGATTTAATGAGTGTCCCGTTGAGGGCGGTTTCATTCACAGTTGTTATGGCAATCAGCTGAAAACCCCACAGACACTGAGGGGATACTATCCACAGTGGAGAGGACTGAGTAAAGATAAGAGGACCTGATACTAAAAGTGGGTCAGGTCAAGCTGAACCATGCATTGGCAATGTGACATTATTGCAATTTTTGTTTTGGAACTTTGTTTTAATCTGTGTGTCATCTTACAGGAGAGGAAACGTTTCATGGCACTATCAAAAGCAAAGCAAATCTGGGGCAGCCAGTCAAATCAGCAGAGGAGGAGGAAAGCTGGTAATGCCGGAAAAGAAACCGTGGGAGGAGGACGAACGAAAACGTTAAGCAAAAAAACAGTGAAGGCAGCCTTATTGAAAGATATACCAATACTTTCAGATACAGACTGCTCTGATAAAGGAGAGCCCACTCATAGAGGTTTGGTCCAGAAGGAGAGGACCAATGAACACACAACAACTGACACAAGCTCTCTGGCCCAAAGTGAAATACTGAAGGCAAAGAAACGTCTCACGTTTCAGCGAAAAGCAACAGAGGAAGAGCTGTGCGACGACAGCGATGCTACAGTTTGTGAGCCATGTGAGCTTCCGAGAAGTCCGAGACCAACCACACAAAAGGAGGGAGAAGCATCCACACCTGTAGCAGAGCCTCAAACTGATGTTCTCCACACAGACGACACGTTTGCAACAGGACAGGCAGGGGACGGACCTGAAAGAGAACATCTTTCAAAGAAGAGGAAAAAGAAGAAGACAGACAAAGGAGATAATGAAGGTGTAGAAGAAGGAAAGGGCCAGAGTCTGGAAGAGCCGGAGGCTCTGCATGCTGCAACGTGTGTGAACTCGTTGCACAATGATAACACACCGAGACAGGACGAGGGAGACACTCCCGATCCAAAACATAAGAAAAAGAAGAGAAAAAAGAATAAGCCTGCAGTAGAAAATGTCGAACAGGAAGAGGATGGAAACTTGGAATCTGATGTGAGAGCGGAGGAAGGTGGCAAGAAGAAGAGTAAAAGAAGTGGTGAGGACATTGAGCAGCTACAGTCCAGCACAGTCGCTGAACCTCTAAATGATGAGGTAAAGAAGAAGAAAAAGAAGAAAAGGAAAAAAGAAGAGGAGGCTGCAATTACAGAGGAACATGAAGAGGAGGAGGCGTTGAATAGGACTTCAAATCTGCTGCCCATATTGACAGAACAGTTGGAGGAACCTGGAAATTGTTTAGAAAGTGCTGCAGCTTCTTCCCAAGAAACATTCATTCATGTCAAAAAGAAGAAGCACAAAAAGAAGCTGCAGTCGTCGTCTAATGATGCAACTCAGCATGGAGAAGAGGGTGTAGATGTGAACTTTAGCATTGATAATTCTGTAACTTCGGCTAAAGGTTCAGGGATGTCACTGAAAATGAAGAAAGCTATCTTTGAGAATATCTTTGACTCTCCTGAACAAAAAGAAAAGGTTGAGAATATAGGTGATACCCAGAAAACAGAGGAAGGCATTGAGGACCAAAATACTGAACTGGTGTCGAAAAAGAGTGAAATATGTAGTAGGGGTATCTCCGAAGACGGTGTGGCACAAAGCGATGATTCAGTGTCTGTGCAGGAAAAGGAAGAGAGGAGGACCTCGTCCTTCCTCGTTGCTGATGCAAAGGAAAACAACGCTCAGACACATGGGGAGCAAAACTCTCCCTCGCAGTCTCGTGTCTCGGGTACAGAAAAACCCGGTGTCAGCGCTGGTTGTTCGGTGGAACTTAATGGCATCGTGAAAAAGAAAAGGAAGAGGAAGGAGTCGGTAGCACAGGACAGCAGGGAAAGGCCGCATTTTGAGGAAGCAAACGAAAAATTTCAGAACTTTATACCCGAAACCACTGACACGGGGGTGAAAAGGAAAAAGAAACATGCAGGAAATGAAAGTGAGGCAGTGACAACTGTGAAAAGATATGAAAGTGCAGCTGATGCAGGACTTTCTCCTCCTGATGAGGCTGTGGTGTTGAAGAGGAAGAAGAAGTTTCAAGATCATTTAATACAACAGGATCCACCAGCTGCCACTGACAATGCTGAACCAGTCACATCTTCGCTGAACAAGACAAAAGGCAAACATAGTCCAAGTGCTGAAATGTCTCTTGACAGCACTACGACTGAGAATCTGGCTATAAATGATGTGACGCACAAGAAAAAGAAGAAGAAAAAGAAACCCACTAATGATGTTTTGCGTGAGGGGAAATCGTTGACCGAGCCCGCTGAGCTGGAGCCCAGAGAAAAGAAAAAGAAGGAGCGTAATAAGCCGTCAGCTGTTCCCAGCAGCCCAGTGTCATCAGAGGCTTCTCTCTCTAAAGCTGAAATGTTGTCACCTGACAATAACACAAAAAATAAGCACAGAAAGGTCAAGCGGAGACTTTATGATCCAAGTGAGGATGTGTGCAGACTGTTAGTATGAATTCACTGATTGGATGAGTTGTAGATTGGCAGACAGAGAGATCATTTTTTTGGAAAATCAATCATCTGAAAACACAACAATGATAATTATGACAGTGTTAAGGGAAAAACATTTTTTAATGAAGTTTGTTTTGTATCAAAGCGTTTTTTTACTGACACAGTTTTCAACCTTTTTGGTGTTGAAATGCACTTTTTTTAAAAAAAAATATAAAATAAAAGCTGAATATGAACATTACAATATTTGGAGGAAGAATTGATTATAATTAATATCTTTGTGATCACTTTTGAATATAAAGCCAAAATCTCAAGAACTTACTTGAATCTGGTTTTTATGTTTTTTATTTTTGTGTTTTTAATTGATCAATTTGAACACTCACCCGCCACAATGGACATTCTCTATCTGACAGCAGGGAGAAGTTTCATCTTTTATTTCACCCTGCTGCACCTTTAGTAGAAATAATAAACCTTTTTATATAATGAGTTGAAATAATTCATGGTTCAGTAAAAGTCTAAATGTTTATGAGTGGTCGCACAGCTGTACAAATAAAGCCCTGAACCAGTGCTTGTTTCGTTAATGGTGTCACAGATTCAAATAATTTATGATCAGAACCTGAATCTGAAACTGTTTTATTGCAGAATAGGTTTGTAAATGAGCTGATATTGTCTGAGTGACTCTGTTTGTTTTAGCTGCAACAAAGTGCGCCGTGGGTATTCATGGGGTTGAAATGGAAAGTTTTGATATTCAATCAGATACAGAAGAGATCAACTGGACTCAGTATTGATCTTAGTGAAAATAATATTTATTCTCCTTTGGGAAAAAATACACACCTAGTATCTTTAAGTTACACAAACTTAAAAGATATCTGGAAGAATTGCATGTGTATGGTGTTAGTACAAAAGTATAAAAGCATATTAAAAGTGATTAATTGATATCATGGTATGAAAATCATCCTATCAGTTAAATGGACTGCACAGCACTTCTATAGCACCTCTCTAGTCTTCTGATCACTCAAAGCGCTCACCCATTCACACATGATCTCACACACCGATGGAACAGCCATCAGAATCAACATTTAACATTTAGATTTGGATTTAAGATTAAACCTTTAGTTTTAACTTTTAACATTTAGATTCAACATTTCACATTAGGTTTAATATTTACCTTTTAAATTTAACATTTAGTTTTAACATTTAACATTTAGATTTAATATTTAACTTTTGGACTCAACATTTAGACTCATCATTCAACATTTAGATTTAATATTTAACTTTTGGATTGAACATTTAACATTTAGACTCAACATTTAACATTTAGATTTAAGATTAAACCTTCAGTTTTAACTTTTAACCGTTAGATTCAACATTTCACCTTAGTTTTAATATTTACCTTTAAATTTAACATTTAGTTTTAACATTTAACATTTAGATTTAATATTTAACTTTTGGATTCAACATTTAACATTTATACCCAACATTTAGATTTAAGATTAAACCTGTAGTTTTAACTTTTAACATTTAGATTCAACATTTCACATTAGTTTTAATATTAACCTTTAAAGTTTACATTTAGTTTTAACATTTAGATTTAATATTTAACTTTTGGATTCAACATTTAGACTCAACATTTAACATTTAGATTTAAGATTAAACCTTTAGTTTTAACTTTTAACCGTTAGATTCAACATTTCACCTTAGTTTTTATATTTACCTTTAAATTTAACATTTAGTTTTAACATTTAACATTTAGATTTAATATTTAACTTTTGGATTCAACATTGAACATTTATACTCAACATTTAGATTTAAGATTAAACCTTTAGTTTTAACTTTTAACATTTAGATTCAACATTTCACATTAGTTTTAATATTTACCTTTAAAGTTAACATTTAGTTTTAACATTTAGATTTAATATTTAACTTTTGGATTCAACTTTTAACATTTAGATTCAACATTTCACCTTAGTTTTAATATTTACCTTTAAATTAAACACTTAGTTTTAACATTTAACATTCAGATTTAATATTTAACTTTTGGATTGAACATTTAACATTTAGACTCAACATTTAACATTTAGATTTAAGATTAAACCTTTAGTTGCAACTTTTAACATTTAGATTCAACATTTCACATTAGTTTTAATATTTACCTTTAAGGTTAACATTTAGTTTTAACATTTAACATTTAGATTTAATATTTAACTTTTGGATTCAACATTTAGACTCAACATTTAACATTTAGATTCAAGATTAAAACTTTAGTTTTATCTTTTAACATTTAGATCTAACATATAACGATTAGATTTAATAGTTAACATTTAAATCGTTTTTCTTCTTTCACATAAACATATTAACATATAAGCCTATAACATATATGCACAAGATGCAGCACAACATGCATATTCAAAATACAACAGCTAGAAATTTCTAACCTAATTTTTTCATTCTGCCCAAAATGTGTCTGTACCAGATTTTTAAGACTTTAGACCAATCAGACAAATATGGCATTTACTTGTCATAGACTACTAAATATATTATGGAGGAACAGGTGGGTAAACAAGTCAAATGGTTTTATTTTGAAGGCCACGACCGGAAGTACTATATCTTGACGAGTCTAGCTTTAAAGACTACCTGTTAATGCCGCTTAAATCCCGAAACATTGTTTTGATTACGCTTTATTTTGGAAGAACATCACCGGAAACGAATAGTCAATCTTTCCCGTGAGTTTCACAGTGATGTGTGAACAAAGGAAGGAACCTTGTTCACTGGAGTTTCGCCTGCAAGTGGAGATGTCGTGCTCAACTCAGCGCATTTTACGCACGGTGACTGATCACAACAAGCCAGCGGGCACGTTACGTAAGCGCGCAGCCACAGCAGGCATTTAAACACTGAGCCTGTGAAGCTCCAGCTGGAAACTTTTTACCTCTGTGAGTCCGGCGTGTCTTCATCCAGACTCTCCACACTTTTATCCGTATCCAGATATGTCGTCTTCTTCCTACAACAGCAGCGCGTGTTTCAAAGAGGCCAGGAGGGTGGCGATATTCGGAGGGACGCACGGGAACGAGATGTCAGGCATGACGCTGGTGAACCTGTGGGTGAAGAACAGCGCCGAGATCCAGAGGAAAGGGGTCGAGACCAAACCTTACATTACCAACCCGAGGGCTGTGGAGAAGTGCACCAGATATGTGGACACGGATCTGAACCGAGCCTTCACCCCGGAAAACCTCAGGTAGGTGAACACACACCTCGGAGCAGCGGCTGTCATGGCATGTTCAGTGTCGCTGCTGGGTCTGGATGTTGTTGTTGTTGTTGTTGTTGTTGTTGTTGTTGTTGTTCCTGTCTGCTGACATACATGTTGAATGGAAACTTTTCATGGCACGGATCCACAAAACAGCTCCACAATCACAATGGACCCTGGTGTGATTTTACGCATTATGTTTTGCGCTCAATCTGATGATACAAACAAAGACATGACACGTGCGTATGTATAGTTGGTGAAAGTATGTTGGAAAATGTAATGACTATTATGCAACATTATTGATTGACACGTGCGCTCTGCCTGACAGATCAGGGACATATCACTATGCTCAGGATAATGAACGCATGACAGTGACAAACAGTGCAGTGTAACAAGGATTCACACTGATTTCTTCTCATCCCTGCACAAAAACAGTCACCTTGACCCTTGCATCAAACTGTCATTGTCTCAGGTAGTGTGTATGTATATGTGTGTGTTTACCACCAGCCATGTCTCCCCCACCACTTCCCAATAACAGCAGAGCAGCGTGTCCCCTCCTCCTGACTTGTCAGCCAGCAGGAAAAACGTGAGCGAAACGTGACCGAGCTGCAAATGAACTAAGACGTCTTTTTTTTTCTTCCCCTCCTTGTGCATTACAGCGGAAGATATGGTGTTACGCAAACGCTGGCTCATATAGTCAGCGTGCATGGACCGTGCATGAACTGGACATGAAGCACACAGCAGCCTAATGTGGTTGGATAAGAGCATTGTGTCCCAGTATTCATAAATAAGGAATCCCATTATAACATTCCCAAGGTTATTGTAGTGTGTGTGTGTGTGTGCGTGTGTGTGTGGTGCAGTGGTGCATACTGGAGTCTTATCACCATTATGTTTCTATATGGGGTTAATAATGGTCTTTTATTGTGATTAGTATGGGTGTCAATACTCAACTTTATTTACAAATATAACACATTTCCCGTGGCACACACAGTCTAAAATTTAAAAAATTAAATTAAATTACATAAAACAGAACAAAATGCAATTAACAGGAATATTTTTTGTATCTTTAATTTAGCTGTGGAGATATAGGGTGGGGTGGGAGTGTTTAAAATATGTCTAAAAAATGTCCTAAAAAATTCTGTTAACATTCATGTAAAGTCAATCAGTCAATCAATCAATTTTATTTATAAAGCCCAATATCACAAATCACAATTTGCCTCACAGGGCTTTACAGCATACAACATCCCTCTGTCCTTAGGACCCTCGCAGCGGATAAGGAAAAGTCAAAATGGTGAACACAAACATCAGTTAAAAATAATTACAATGAAATTAAATAAACAACAGTATTTGTATAATCAGTGTAGCCATGGAGATAGGTTGGGAGACCAGCGAAGTGTTTATAACATCAAAATGACCACAAAAAAGTCTTATAACCTTCATGTTAAGTGAAAATGTTGGACACAAACAGAAAGTAAAAATAAATAAATAAATAAATAGATAAAATTTGTGAGACTAAAATAATAACAATAAAACAAAATATGTTTTAATGAATTGAAAATTAAAAAAAAAATAAAAATACTAAATATAAGACAGTAGAATAAAGTTAAATAACTTAAACACCAGGGAGAAAAAAAAGCAATTAAAAAAAAAAAAGATTAACCCTTAAAAAGATTTCTCTATTTAAAAAAAAAGACTGAAAAAAATACAACAGTAAAAAACAATGTTGGGTTATTCAATGTAAAATGTAAAATATACATGTGTATATATATATATATATATATATATATACATACATATGGTGAAATAACATAAAGAGCAGGGATAAAACAATGTAAAAAAAAGATTAAAATTTAAAAACATTTCTCTATGATAAAATGAAAAAAAGTCATTGTTGTTTTATTCAATGTAAAATGTAAAAAATAAAAGAAAATGTTTTAAAAATCAGTTAATAAATGTCAATAGAATGTAAAAGTACAAAACGTAAAACAAAAAACAAAATAGTAATTAAAACATTTCTCCACAAATTAAAAAGATAGGTCTGTAATTTATTGACAAACACAGCACATATGCTTAAAAGTATTATTGATACAGGATTTCCTATGATGTATACCTTTTTTACCTTTAGTTTCTTTATGATATTTTCAACTTCTGTTGTCGTGTTTACTTTTAAATTATTTGCTGCAGATTACTGAAATAATGTTAAAAGCTCAGATCATCCTGTCTGGGTTACTTTGCGTCATCCTGCAAGTTTTTGTAATGATATTCAAAGATCTTCTTACTGTTTGGCCTCTCTGAAGGCAACATATAAGAAGATTAACTGCTTGGA